TATATATACAAAAATGAAATATATAGTGCAGAAAGTACAAAGGTCATGCATACGAGTGGAGGCCATGAACTCCTCCCTCCATCTGGGCAGACATGGTTCTCTTCTCAAACTTTAACTCGCCTGAGTACATCATGGACCTGAAAGCAACAAAGACTTGCTAAAACCCAGCAAACACACAACAACAAAATCTTTGAATGATTACATTAAACATAATTACAGTTTTAAACTAACCTCAAGATGGACAAGCTCTTGGCTCCGATGTCCTGACAGCCGTGTTGAATCCCAGCTATGAGGTAAGGAACAAACTTTTGAATCGAGCCTTTGTCCTGCACCGATCCTGAGACTCCCTGAGCCACTTTGACTTTATCTCCCTCACTGGACAAATTAAATCCACATAAATTACAGTAGTTCATTAAGCTTTTCTTTGATTTTTAAGAGAAAGAAGCTCTGTGTGTCTGCCATACCTATAATAGCGTTTTTGACTGTTGTTCTTCTCCATGGCATCCAAGGAGCCCATTCCTCTGTACTTTTTGAGACGCACACCATCTGAAAAGAAATATTCTCCTGGAGCCTCGGTGGTTGCTGCTAGCAAAGATCCCATCATCACTGGAGACAAAAAATATTGAACAATTTTAGACTGAAAGATCCAGAAGCAATTGGCACAAATGGAAGGTTCCTTCTGTCCGTTACTACCTGTAGATGCTCCCAGAGCCAGAGCTTTGACCACGTGCCCCACAGTCTGAACGCCTCCGTCTGCGATGACCGGGACTCCGAAACGTCTGGCGTACTCTGAAACCTTGTAAACGGCTGTACCCTGGGGGCGTCCACATGCCATCACTAAGAAACAAAGACACAAAAGCAACACATGATTGAAACATCTTCTGCACGAGCTGAATTTTTAGACACGAAAGCAACCACTAAGCTCTGCGCTCATATTTCGACCTTCCTGAGTGATGCAGATTGAGCCACAGCCCATGCCGACCCTCAGAGCATCCACACCAGCATCTATGAGGTTTTTAGCCTGAGCAGCTGTTACCACTAGAGAGAGACAGAGGCACAGGAAAGAGATGACTGATGAAGATGATGATAAAATGAGTTTTTTTTTTAAAGAAAAGTAAAACAAATGTGAAAAAAGGTGGACCGTTTCCTCCAACGACTTGTAGATCAGGATACTTGGATTTGATGTAGTGAATCATGTTGATTTGATAAACCGAATTTCCTTGGGAAGAGTCCTGAAAATGAATGCATTTAGTTAGAAATGATTTAAGGCAGATGATTACGTCCGTAAATGCATTAAACAAGTCAACTACAATAAGCACAAAGCAATTGTAATACATTAATTTCACTGTGTAAAATTTCATACAGAAAAAAAAACAGATCATGGTCTAAATTCTGGACATTTGATTTTTGATTCTCAGAATTAAAGTAATCTACTGATTTTGTAGGTGTCACAAATTAACACTATCACAATTTTCTAGTCTATAAACACAAAATGGGTTTGAGAGTTTCAAACTGTATTCCTGCAGGGCTTTGGCATGTAGTCTCAAAAATCTGGTCATGTTTTCAGCAAACCTTTGGTGAAAAAAATCAAGTTGTAAAACTTCTTCCGTGTTTCTATGAATCGGACAGTTCCTCTTTTTCAGCAAAAAGTTGAAAATGACTTTATAGAAAAAAATGAGAAACCACATTTTTAGAGAAGTTGAAATTAAGAGAAAGGCTTATGAACATTTTGGAGATAAGAGTAAAACATAAAGTTATTTCTTTAAAGTTATTTCTTTACTTTACTACCTGTGAGTATGAAATCTCAAGGTTGAAGCTTCCCTACATGTAGCCACAGGGATTACACAACCAGGTTTATTTACATTTTTATTTTATTTTTTATTTTTTTGGAAGGTTAATATTTTTTCTTCTTTCTGCCACCTTTCATTTTATTTGTGATTTGTATTATTTGTTATATGTATAGTATTTGTTTTGTTTTTAAATAAAAATGAATAAATTTACTAAACTAAAAACCAAAATACTGAATATTACAGGACATAAATCTCACCAGGACTACCACGTCCACTCCAGCCTGGATGAGGAGGTCCAGTCTAAATTTGTCGTCCTCCCTGGTTCCGATTGCAGCTCCACACAGCAGCTGTTTGCGTGAGTCTTTGGAAGCCAGAGGGTAATCTCTGTTCTTCTTCAAGTCAGTTCTGGCAATGATGGCAACCAGCTCGTCATTGTCATTAACAATGGGGAGCTTACCTTAGAGAAACGAAATGAAACATGAGTAAATAAAAAACAAAAAAAACTGTCATAATGTGCCTGTTTTTCTGATTTACCCTTTTTGCTTCTTTGCAGTATATCATTTGCCTCTTTTAGTGTAACTCCAGCAGGTGCAACAACTAGATCTTCTCTTTTTGTCATAGCCTAGATCAAAAACATGAAATGTGAATCGTATACTTTCTAAATTACCATGTTCAGTTGGGATTCTGATTTGTGTAACTTTAGTTCTCACAAATACACAACTTTTAGAAAACTCCACACTCACTTCTTCCAGAGGCCTGTCGTAGTCCTTCTCAGACAAAAAGTCAATATCCCTGGAGGTCACGATGCCGACCAGCTTACTGCCCATCTTCCCCGTCTCTGTCACCGGGATCCCAGAGAAACCGTGTCGTCTCTTAGCTTCAAACACATCTCCAACTGTGTGACATGGACTCATCACCACCGGGTCTGTGATGAAGCCCTGCTCGAATTTCTGACAAAAACAAAAAGACGGGCCAGGAGTAAGAAAAAAAAAAGAAAACTTCTGCATGATGTTTTACAGAATCTGAAGTTACCCTGTGTGTTAGTGATCAACTATAGTGTCAAATCATGTCTGTGCTGATTTTTCTGTCCTACCTTCACTTTCCGGACTTCATTGGCCTGGAAGTCAGCAGTGCAGTTATGATGGATTATTCCAATCCCACCCATCAGCTGAAATCAGGCACGTGGAAACAAAGATAAAAATGTCATTTTTCCACTGTGGATCCAAATATTGTTAAATTGAGCGGATAAGTATAAATGATGCATGTGTGTGTGTTTGTACTCACTGCCATAGCAATAGCCATGGATGACTCTGTGACTGTATCCATGGGGGAAGAAATGAGAGGCGTCTTCAGAGTGATTTTTCTCGTCAGTGCAGAAGTCAAATCCTTCCAAACACGATGCATTTGGGAACAAAAATGTCAGCCTCACATCGAACGACGACTTTAATCAAATCCACGACTAATTTGATGAATGATGTCACTGCAAAGGTAGCAGCTGCAGCACAGAAGCTAAGTGATTGTTTTTATTTTTATTTTTTTTGCATGTAAATAAACCTAAAAGCCACTTTGGCCATAATAGAGGCTGACTTGCTGTATTAATCTGTTGAGTGTGAAGGACGCAGGTGTGTGTGTGTTTCTGTTTTGGACACCTGCTAACAGGCAACCAGCCATGTGACCCAGGCTAGAAATTAATTTTTCATCCCAGCAGAGTTTAACAAAGCAAACAAATAATCCTGCCATCATCTGCTGCTTTTAATGAACAAAACAAAAACCTACAAACTTTAGTTTAAACTGCATAAAATCTGGGTAATTACTAGATTTTTTAAAATAAATAAAAATAATAGTAGGCCTCAAGACATTATCTAAACACCATAGTCATAAAAATGTCTTGTTTTCCAGCTGCAGCCATAAATTGACTTTTAAAAAACTCACTACAAATACAGAAACATTATTCAGTTTCTAAACATGTGCATTAAACTGTGATAACACTCACCACCTCCTCAGAAGTGAAATCAATAAAACCAGGGAGAATAAGGAAGTCACTGAAAGTAGAGAGGAAACAAATGTGGTGAAAAAAAGGACATTTTTTACATTTAGAAACTTCAATCAACCCCAAACTTAGTTATTTGTTTAAAAATGAATGGTTATTTGTGAGCACAGATAGCACCAGCTAGCTGTAGCACTTCTGGTGCATCCACAATATATGTAAAATCATTTTTATGATGGAAACGTATTTTTCAATAAGTTCTCAAATATTAGCAGAAGCATATTGTTGCAGTTTAGTTTTCTACCCCAAAAAATAAAAAAAGAAGTCCACTTTGCTTGATACTTTTAAATAAAAGGAGTCATTTCTCAATCTTTTCCATTATGAAGTGAGTTCTGTGATATATACGTTTAGTGTTTGAGATGCACTCTTCAAGCCAGTGTTAAAAAAGAAAAGAAAAAAGTGAAATAATCTGTCAGGAGTTCAATTTACTGAAATGTTCAGTATTAGTCTCTGTTCACAGATGAACCCCACATATGGCTTCTAATAAGAAAACTGCACTGACACCCATTAATACACTGACACTTAAAACGCCACTTACTCCCCCACCACACTTACACAGACACACACAGACTGACACACACTGCTTTTACGTTTGTAAAATCACTCAAAATCCCTGAAAGTAGTATCACTCGTAATAATCCTCCTTTTAAAGCCTAAGCTGACATGCCATCACTGTAAATGTTAACAGTAATGAGAGTCTTCGCATGACTGTGATTTTTGTAGTTGCTTGTGACATTTTGGGAATTTGCACGTCTCAACACATTGCCTCCATGTTTGTTTCAGGGAAAATAAAGAAGTTTCTTACTTGTATGTCAGCCCGTCACCGATGGCAAACAGCTGCTGTGCTGTGAGTCCGTCTTCAGGAACATAACCTGTGCCTCCACTGATCAAGAAGTCAGCCATGCTTAAATATAAATATAAAATACGTGCATGGATGAAAACATTATCACATCAGACTTTCAAAAAGATAAAACCATGAAAAAGAGACAGTTTTAATTCTACTTGTGAACAATATTTAAAACACAAAAGATGGAATAGTTTTGGCAAGAAATTATTTGTAGATTTTTATCGATTTCCATGGTTTACAAAAGAAATTACATTATAACTGGGTGTTTCAGCCCTTGTGAATTCTGCATAAAATACAGGAATATGATCACATGATCATACGTCAGTTCTTTAACTTTAGAATATGCGCTAACCCTGATGTTCTTTTTTGTCATGACCTCTATCTGACCTCTGCTGTGGCCTGATCAGGAGAATAAACAGGAACTGCTAAGAAAAGGAGCACATCCCTTTCAATGGAAATGCTTTCTTTACATCGATGACGGCAGCGGGTAAGAGGATTTGGTCAGCTGCCCAGGTCAATAAATGAGCTTGATCACAAACAAGCTAATATTCAGAGAAAAATATGACGTGTCAACTGCTGCCAGAGACACGATGAGTAAAACGTTTTAAATCCCTGCTGTTACTCCAACAGGGCAGTTAAAGTAAAGATGATGGTGTGAAGACTGACCTCTCTGGCTCATATCCAGCCTGGATACGTGTGGCGCTGTATCTCTGGGCTGCCGTCTCATACCCGTGTGAATGTGATGTTGGGTGGGCGTGAGCCAGCAAGGGATGAGGCTGCTCCCCGTCTCTGTTTGGGACACGAGGCCATACTGGCTCCATGTCCCCCACAATCCTCCTGTAGTCAATCTGGTAAAAGTCCCTCTCGTTGTCTCCAAACCGGTCATAAGCATGACCCTCCATCTCTGGGAAATCCAGGACTCTGACACCCCCCCCCCCACACACACACACACACACACACAGGGCCCAAGCACCTTTCACTTCTTTTCTCTCTCACAGGTACACGGACCAAGCACTACTTTTGCACATGAACAAGTAGAATCACACCTAGCTCTCCAAGTAAACACTGGGCTCAGCAGATCCCAAGAGAGGCTATCAATTTGCTGCTCACTTGCACGCACTCAAAAGGTACACAGTGCATGAGTGCATGTTCACAACTTTTTTAAGACACCTGTTATTAAACAAAGTATTTTTGCCCTCTGATTACTTTTTTTTAAATCTGAGCTGTAGTTCAGCCAAAACAGTCAAAAAATAAAACACAGCAAATTAAGATTTACAACAAAATGCTTGCAGTTAAAAATCTCCTGTTTAAAAATATATTACAAAGAATTTCACAATAAAAGATTCTTTAAAATGGTTTGCTTGCCATCAGAAAAGATCATATTCCCACCCAGGCTTGGAATGAACGCCCTCAAGCAAAGGGAGGACATGTCAGCTGAAGGTAACTACACCAAATTCAGAATTCCCTGCATCCTCCTCTGTTCCAGAAACAAGAAGCTGTTGTGAAAGTGATGTAGTTGAAGCTGCAGAAAGCCCACCCACTCCTGCTTAATTTTCACCCACCCCAATGGCTGGGAGCTTCCCTCCACACCGCTCTCCTGGAGGCTGCTGAGCTTAACTCGGTTCCTGACAGCTGCAGACGTCACTCGCCCGTCTCACAAAGAGGATTGGGAGCATTAAAGCAGGATGGGGTGGGGTGAGAGGTGTGTAGGGTGGAGCAAGGAGGAAGTAGTGAGGAGGAACGACGGGTCAAGATGACACTTTTACCTCGAAGGATTACAACGGTGAGCATATGCATGTCGAGGAGACAGACAAAGGTCAAACCCCCAGTGTGAGCTCACACAGCATGGATGCCGTACAATTCAGACGAATACAAGAGATTTTTGTGCACGTGAAGGCAGACTTTTAATATTTCAATATAAAAAAATTTGGATTAAGTTTGTCTTTGAAAAATAGTTTCTATAAAAGTACAATAAAACAAGCTGCAAAATATTCACATAGCACCGTATGAATACCGAATACTGCTTCCTACAACCGTCACATTTTTCCACAAGAGCCGATACACTTTTCACTTTAAGCTTGAGTTTTCCACCAGGGTCCTGGAGGTTTGATGGTCCTTCACAATTTCTTAGCTGTTTCCAGGAATGTGCTCTTCAGGAACCAACTTTCTGTGCCACTAAAGTCAGTTTCAGCAGCTGAGAAAAGTTACCTTTTTTAAACAAATACTGCACCTTTAAATATATACAATTCAAACAAATAAAAAATAAATTTCCTTTCATATAAAAATGTGGGGGGGAAAGGTAAATATAAGAAATGTTGTTGACATGTTCAGTTATTACATGCAGGAGGGCCTCAGCTGCGTTAGAATAAGGCACCTAAGGGAAAAGAAAATGAAATTAAAACCTTGGATGGCACAAAAAGGCTTGAAGGATTAAAAGCATTAAATCATACCCAGCTCCTTCATCAGATCTGGCTCGTGTTTTTTAAGGGCATCATAGAAGGCAGCTTTGGCTGATTCTCCTGAACGTAGCGTCGTCCCATACAGTTCTCTCATTTTGTCCTGTGAGGTTTTTTCCGCTCTGATCATTGAGTAGGCCTCTGAGTGGACTCGCTTTCTGAGCTCTTCAACTACGGCCATTACTTGGGAGGTTCGCTGTATTAATTCTGGTCTCATGTCGTCGATAAATGTTGCTGTTTTTGATGGAGAAGAACAAAAACGTGTAGGTGAGAAGAGCAATGACAGTGGAGTCCTTACCAGTCTTAAATGCATTTTTATGACAATCAATACAAACAAGCAAATTTTTAAAAAAATCATACCTTTTTCTTTTTTTGTGCAAACATTCTCAGTCATCTGTTGGCAACAGAGTAAAAAATAGTTTAAACTGGGAAACACTAATGACTAAAACTGAAGGATTCAGGCAAATATTGGACTTTTCTTTAGTTTTTTATTACTTTGGGATTTGATGGAACGTGATTTAGCATCGTAATAAAACCTGTAAAACAATGAGTCCAAACTGACCTTAGGGGTGACTTTATCTGGTTGTTGGACTTGAGTGTCTCTGTGTTTTGCCTGTGATGGATCTTGTGCTGAATGTTCCTTATCTCTCACCCTGAGATCCTGAATAAGAAACAAAATAAAGAAAAAAACGAGTAATAATCACTGTTAAAATATATCTTTGTCATTTCTTAAATTTGAAGAATACCTGTATGCTAAATTTGTAATGATCCACAGCCACAACATCCTTTGCGCATGCATTTTCTGAAACAGAATCATATTTATTTTATGGGTTTTGGCTTTTAGGTGTAAAAAAGCAACATGATTAAATCTACCTGGTTTGGTAACGCTGTCTGCACCACTTGTTTGAGGTAAATGAACACCAGCAGGTGAATCCTGAAACAGAGTAAACATCCGGTAAACAAAAAAGAAAAAAAATCCCTTCCTGAGTTTTCAGTTCTTATTTATTTTGTTTTATATAAGACATTCCATACCAGCTTTAATAAGACTTCATAGACGGCAACATTAACATTACTCTGGTGCTTTGAGAACACATCCTTTGTGCGTGCCATGATTTCTAGAAGGAAAACCATTTTTCATTTTAGAGTGTGTGGCTATTGGAAAATAAACAATGCAAATTATTGAACTGTGTTAAACATCTGTTGCATGTATTATGCATACATAGGGGCAGTAAAGTTTTGTATAAAGTAGGAAGCAAATGATCACAACGAACATCAAACCTTCAGACTTAGGTCTCTTCACAGGATCCCCATCCCAACACTGTTTCATGAGTTTAACCAGCTCTTCCATCCTTTCTACATTTTTATGGTAACGTTTGACATCCGGTCTGTCACCCTTTGGAATCCTCACTGCAACTAGGTCTTTCCCTTTTCCTATGGTGTATTCAAAACAGTAAAAATGTAGACAGAGCCGAACGTGAATGTGAAAAAAGGCCTTTACCTGTGCTCAATAATTACTTATAAGCAGATGAGGTTTAGGAAAAACAAACATTTGGTGGTAATTACACTTAACAAAAGTTTAAAAAGTGGAAAAGGAAGATGATAAAATCCACTGTACCTTGGTATGGTTCTTGACCAGTAAAGATAGACCAAAGTAGGATACCATAACTGATGACGAAAGGGTGGAAATTCTTGATTATAGTTGCTTTTTAACTATAGAGGATTTGTAAAACTGTACTTCAGTGTTTACCTGTATATGTCAAAAGAACGACAGGGTATATATGATAAATCTCCCAACGCCTCTGGTGGCATGTATTTAAATGTACCTCCAACATCCCTTGTTTGATCACCGATGTTCGAAACACTGGTGGTGATCCTGGACAGACCAAAGTCTGCCAGCTTCAAAATACAAAGACAGAAACTACTGAGTTCAGTTTTACATTCAACTGCTACATAAAAAGTTAAAGGGGTAGGTACTGCACCTTGGCGTGGAGTTCATCTGTCAGCAGCACATTGCTTGGCTTTAGGTCACAGTGCAGAATTTTCTTCAGATGGAGGAAGTTTATTCCTTGAGCCACTTGATGGGCCAGACGGAAGGCCAGAGGCGGTGGAGGAGGGCCGGCTAAGTTTTCCTGCAGGGTCTCAATGGATCCTCTTTTCATGTGCTCCATGACTATACCTCTCCTCCTGGACATTCCTTTAAACGGAGTTCCATCATACATTCCATAAATTCTGAGCACAAAATCAAAGACCAAACTTTTCATGTGATTAGCCTCCTTGAGCAGTGGTTCATCCTCCGTTAGACTGAAACGAGAAGGATGACAGTCAGTTATCTATTTAAAGCGGAAGAAACATAATATATAAATATTTTAGAATATGATTTTGTTGTTGTTGTTGTTGTTGTTGTTGTTGTTGTTGTTGTTGTTGTTGTTGTTGTTGTTGTTGTTGTTGTTGTTGTTGCAAATGTACCTTGATTCCTGATGAGGTAGTTTAATAGCCACATCAAGACCCCATGTCTTGTGCCAGACCCTATAGATTCTTCCAAATCCACCACAACCAATCTCCTTCCATTCCTCCAAATCTGTGTCATGAATCACCTCACTGCTCGCCTCTGCCATCTTCTGGTGAACTCGGGCATGCAGTTTGAGACGTCAAAATCTGTTAGAACTGATCAGAAGAAAATATTCTATTACAAAACACAATTAAACAAGCACATTTATTAAAAATGTCATTTGATCAACGACATGGTGGTGATTCTTTATCCCGCTCTTCCTTATTTACGAGAACTGAGAAGAAACTGACTGTCAAAAGAATTTAAAAGAAAGCTTTTTCCACAAACACTAGTTTAGCATTATTTGATTATACTATTAGATGTTTGATATCTACTTACTTCATAGCCCCCAGGTTGTGTCTAAGGTTTAAAGGAAAAGTTCAATCAAAAGCAATGAGAAACAAATATAACGTTCCAGCTTCCTGTTTCTGTTTCAGCTGCAGCTGAGAGGAGGGATGGACTTAAACTGCGGAAGTACTTCAGCAGACTGTGAAACAACCCTCCCTCCTCCCACCCCTTCCTTCCTTCTCTCTTTAAACTGTCAGATTATATGCAGAAAGTTATTTATTATTTTGTAGACAAAGTAAAGCAGTTGAACTTAAACAACTTCACGTATTGGCACTATAGATGAACTTTGAACCCTTTTGTTGCTTTTGTGATAGTGGCCAAAATCTCTGAGACACAGTTCCCCACAAGCCTTCTGGTCAAAAGAGACAAATGTTTCGTCACATGAACGGGGGTGAATTGAGGCCATTAGTTCAAGTTCAAGTGTACTTTATTGTCAAAATCTATGTAACAGGATTAGCACAGAAGTTGAAATTGCGTTTCACCAGTCTCCAATGTGCAGTTAAACATATAAACATATCAATAAGTCATTGACATTTTTGGTTATACTGTTAGATGTTGGACATCTACTTACTTCATAGCCCCCAGATTGTGTCTACGTAAGTTTTAAAGAATAAATAAAAGACCACTTGATAATGTTGAATGTTGGATCAAGCTCGGGCATTCTTTTGGTCTCAATGTTAACAAAGGGTGCAACTACTTAAAACAATAAATCTTGTGTTTGAATTCTTTGGAACATGGTGGTTAACAAGTAACATCCATACAAACATGCACATCTCAAATCAAGGTGAGGCATCAAGGTGATTTAAATGGCAATTTTTATATGGTAAATGTGTAGATTTACCAAAAGTGTGGATATTAGGGTTTAAAATTGCTTCTGTGGAAGTTGAAATATCAAATCAAGCATTTTACTGAAGAAAAAAGTGTAAAATTACTGTTTTTAAAACTACCTAAAGTTTAAAAGGAAAACATCAAGGACAAAGGATTGTTTATTTATTTACTTGTTTTTATATATTTTTTAAAAATTGCTGCCTGTGAGAGGATGCTAAACTGCATTTCACTGTTTTGACACTGTCCTTGAACATTGTTTTTATCAGCGACAATAAAGCTCTTCTATTCTATTCCATTCAAAGGATTAAGCTGCAATACAGAGGTGCACAATCCCACCTCCCCAAAAATACTTTTTCTAAAGGCTGTAACGACTATAATGTTATATTAAAATGTTTAAAAAACACCTGTTTCAGCTGCATATATGTCTGCTATGCTCATCTTCATACTAGTCTACATACATCTGCTATGTCCTGTTGGAGTGTGACATGATTTATGTCATGTACAGGTGTGATAGGTCACATAGGGTGTCAGAACGGTATATATTTATACCTCTCATCCAACCACAATTATTACAAATATGAGGTGGTGATAGATATTTTTGTCTTTGTTTTTTAATGATTGCAAGATGGAATGAAAACAAGCCCAAATGAAATAGAAATTAAATTTGTTTTGCATATATAAAATGTAAGGAGTAGAACGTGCAGACAATCACCTGAAAATATAAAATAGTCATCTGAAAGTATAAACAACAAAGACTTTCTTAAAGGGGCAATATCATGTGAAAACAACTTTTTTGAGTTTTATAACATGTATAATTTTACACTCTCATAAAAACATGCCCAAAGCCTTGCTTTGACTCATTCATGCATGTTTGAGAAATCCTGCAGTGTTTTTAGGCAGCCATGCTGAGGAGCAAAATGAGAGGTGGGGACCAAAACGCCTTTTGTTACCAGGAACACCACTGGGACGTGTCTTTAAACAGAACTTCCTCATGGCAGAGCGCACCCCCTCCCCACACACCCCACCCATGACTCCTGCAGGCTCTTGGGTGAAAGTGAAAGTGAAACTTAACTGTCTGCTGAGGTCTCAACATTAGTTCTCACTCAGTGAAGCTCTTTTCAGATTAAAAATACCTTTGAGGCCGATTTCAAGGCGTTTAGAAGAGGAAGTGATGAGAAGATCAGTTTATTTTCTATTTAAACATAAAAACAGCATTTTAATAACAGCTAAAGGTGACATAGATACTTTATTATGGTATAGTATTTAAATATATGCCTGAGAAACACATAATATTGGCCCTTTAAGTAAAAGTAACCAAGTATTATTTCATTACTCAACACCTCAAATAGATTCATTTTCCAAAAGAAGAAAAATATTTGATTTGGTTTATATTATTCAGGATTTAAACTATTGTTTTTACTGCATCTTTTCAGTGCTGATTTGTTTGCTTTTTTTAATCTATGCAATTAGTAAAACACAAGCAGAATCACAGCTTTGTCAGAAAAATCAGTTTTTTCTGAACACAGCATATTGTGCTTAGGAGCACCATCACAGGTGTAAAACCCTTACATAACTGAGTCTGTGAGTGCTCATTCACATTTCACCCTGCCTTGTTTCCCCCATCAATACGCACAGTCTGCTCTTGCTCTCTGCATTTCTCTCCCTCTCTCCCCTCCCTCTTCCCCACCCACCTTCATTTACGCTCAGTTTGGTGTGGACCTCGTTCACCAGTGGCTGCTCGCAGCGCCACATCCTCCCTCCGCTCCTCGCTGCCTTTTCCATCCCTCTCTGCTCCGTTCAGACTGCACCTTCTACTCTCCTTCGTTTGCCTCCTCCTCTGCAGGTGTTTCATGCCAATGATACATCCAGGGATAAAGGTGAAGGGGAGGTGCTGGATCTTGGAGCGGGGGGAGCTGAGGTGAGCGTTTGGAGCATCACTGATGCAGACAGGTTACATCCTCTGGAGCAGCGAAGGACAACGCTGGAAGAAAGCAGCTGGACTGGAGTACCACTGCAGGACTAGACGCGCTTTGTGCTGTGAAGGTAGAAAAGAGAACTGAGGGCAACAACAGAGGGAGGGGAGTGTTTATAAGAGGCGCTCCAGTTACAGGAGTTTTGGGAAGGAGGGTGTGTGGTCCACAGGGAGTGTTTTAAAAGTGGAGAAAAAAAGGGTATTAAGGGGGGTCTGTTCAGCTCCCAGATTAAAGAAGAGGAAGAAGGGTTGATCTTTGCAAAGTCCAAAGAGTCACAGAGATTGGGGAGGTGCAGGCTCTCCATAGGCTGTGGAATTACAATTGGAGCTCCGAGACAATCTGCAGTACTGACTGAGAGAGGGGTGGGCATGGTTTAAGGACACAGGGCAGGTGGACCAGTAAAAGATCTTCATCTGTTCAAAGGTAGGCTTGTTTCCTGAAGAACAAAGAAGACGGGGAAGAGGAATTCTCAAGAAAATCGGTGACAGTTTGTTCTGCCTTTCTGCACAAATCTATTGGAGCGTTCCATCATGGCTGTCCAACTCATCCCTGAATCAGCTGTCAGTTTGCTTATGGTAAGTCTCAAAGTGGTGTATGTACAACTTGTTTTTGTCTGTTTTTCAACTCTTTCATTTTCCTCTCCATCCAATAAAAAGCTAATATTTTGTGTGTTCCTCCCCCCTTGTTACTTCCTACAAACCTGAAATCCTCCTTGAAAAATTGAAACCTCATTGTTTTTGCTATAATAGGTGTTTTATCTGTAAAGCCAATAATACATACATTTTTTTATTTTTAAACTGAACAGAAAAGTTGTGTTCTAGACAAAACTGTCCTTTAAGGCAAACTTTTAGAACAATGCATCTGCTGTGCAAGTAACAAAGTTGCTTCAGGGGTGAAATTTTCATTGCTGAGTAAGGTTTGCATTTGTTCATACTTCATACAAGACCGGTAGGTTAATTAAACCTCATCTATGTGAGATAATTGTTGGGCAGCAACCACCAAAACAGGAATTGTAAGCTCTTGTTATCAGTAAATTATTGGCCAAAAACAGGTTGGCTTAACTTCCTGTGTTTCCAATAAAATAATAAAACAGATGCACACGGCGAGCTAAACGTCCCTTCTGTCTAAACGGGGAACCGATGACAGAGTGACGTGTAGAATTCAAATGTAACGGCTTCTTCTGATAACCGTCAGGGTTTTATTTGTAAACTTTCCTCATGTGCTTGGTGGCACTGTATATGAGCATGTTCTGCTCATTTTTATTCTATAATGTTGGTATTCTGCATTCTCAGAGGGAGTCATGCATCGCTGCACTGCCTGCTATTTTCCACCTGTCATAGCTGTCTGTTACTATGGCGATAGGCCATGTAATCCATACTGCATTGAGACAGCAGTGTGAAGGGAAGTGCAAAAGATTATAGACAGGGCATGAAAGGAATTAAAAAAAAGAAACAGAGAGAGAACAAAAATCACAATAATGGAAAAAGACAGCTTCAAAGTAAACTGCTGCTGTGGCAAAAAAAAAATAAATAAAAAAAAGCTGGGAACCCACTGAAAAATCCCATCAGGCTGTTTCCCGCCTGAAGAGACTCCTCCAGAGGGGATTTTTAAGGCTTGCGTGGAAATATGAAAGAATTCATCTGCTGAGAATTGTGCCATCCAGTAGACAGTTTTGTGTCACTTGAGTGTGATTTTACTCCTTCACTGCATTTAAGTGAGCATTAGTATGGTGGCTGTTTCCCAACAAGTGCTCTTGTCACGGCTGACGACTCCTAAAATGCTTTGCTACCAAACCGTTTTCACAAGCTCTGTTCTATTCTGTAAATAACTGTCAGCGTCCGTAATTTTCTGCAACCATTTCGGCAACCATTCAGTTTATTCCAACCATCAGCAGACAATGAGCGGCTGTCTTCGGTGAGGACAACATTTGGAGAAAGCGTTACCCCTAACCACGTCCCTCTGCCCTTAAATTTCCTTTAGGTTCACGCTGAGCAGAACTAACATCTCATTACTGATCTCAGAGCTCAGTGACTTGTTTGCTAAATCCGTGGCATTTGCTTCCACACGAGCCTGCTAGGTTGAACCCTTCTTAATTATTAATGTGGGTTCAGTTGGCAGATGTGTGTGTGTGTGTGCAAGTGTTTGAGCCAAGATTAACATTGATCAAGCTTCCTGCCTCTGTGTGCATTAATATTTCAGACAAATAGATAATTATCTCACAGCAGTGATTACAGAAGCTTTTCTTGGATGGATGGATGGATGGATGCATGGATGGATGGATGGATGGATGGATGGATGGATGGATGGATGGATGGATGGATGGATGGATGGATGGATGGATGGATGGACCTGAAAATCATTTCCCCACTTTAAATCCAAACTGGATAATCACATCACTGAATTCATCGTATTTCTGTCTTTGAGCGATTGCTGAGCACTTGTTACTAACCAGAATAAAAAGTATAAGTTCAATACAAATAAATAAATAAATAAATAAATAAATAAATAAATAAATAAATAAATAAATACTGGTTTTATTCATTGTTGATTTTAATCTAAGAACCAGCACTGATCAAAGACCTAGATCTGACAATATCTTACCAGCTCAGCTAATAACATTCTGATGCAGCTAATCCAGGGTTTGTTATGACTTTAGCCCAATTTGATAAAGCATCCCATGGAAATTTAATTATAGAAGAGAGCAAAGCTGACAAAACAAATCATTTCAATGTTCTACTGTGCCATGTACTTATATTATACTTCAATTTATAGACCTCTTGTTCATGTGGGGGGTTGGTTTTTCAAATGCAGGTGCCGCTGATCAATATGCATTTCCCTATCTGTTACACTGGGCCTCACACACAGCACAGACAGAAGGAAGGTAAACTGGGATCTTGACACACTGAGGCTAAGTGGATTATCTTCACAAAGCTGCAGGGTTTCTGTGCAGCGAGGGGAACAACATCCAGCAGCTTCGCAGATCCCAGTTTTATACTAAAGCTTGCATGTTACAGGTCATCACATTGTTACGTTGGTACACCTTAAGCGTTTATGGGTCACGTTGATAACGACACAACAGCATGACTGAAGTGTTCCGTGTTCAGTCAGCCAACGAAAGAAAAGGGCAAAGACCTCATGTTGCCTTGCGCTTTATTGTTTCTCCTTATTCAATTACTGCGGATGCAGACCAGATGACTCAGTGTGATCAAGCCAAGGGATTCATTCAGCCTTAATCAAATCACTGTTGGATGATATATTGCACCGAGTGGGTGTAGATTTGACATGTTGGAGGGTTTTTTTTAATGCACTGGCACATATTTACTGCAAAGACATATTATAACTGTGGTCAAAATAAAAACAAAGCTCTTGATAATGCATTATTTGTATGTATTTTATATGTTCTGATAGTGCAACAGAGCAGCCAGTGTACAAAAGAAGGTGAGCTGAAGAGCATGGGGGGGAGGGGCAGCAATATGAGATCATACTGAGATAATTGATTACTGCCCTGTAACAATGGCAGAGAGGGAGGCTCTGATAACACTTCTTGCATTTCTTTAAATGTAACTGTAACAAGCATATTTTCCAATTCTGGGACACATGGGTGGAAAATTTATACTGCAGTTATCAATTGATGAGTTATTTATAGATTCTATTAGTCAATACTGACACGTTGAACCAACATTTTATTTAAAAAAATATACCCCCACAGTCTACAGATAATGAATGAATGATATTTTATTGATCCCATAAAGGGAAATTAAGGGTATACAAAAACAAAAATTGTGATACAATTAACACAATCTAATTTGCCAGCAAAAAAATCTAAGTTATTTAAATATCTCATATATGTAAAAAGACATTTTGTACCTTACATTTACATTTGGTTCTTAGTAAGAAGTGAAGGCACAGAAGTGTTTTATTACAGCCATTTTTATTATAACAGCATCTCACAGTTTGATGCTGATGTGTTACTGTGCAGCGCCCTTTTATACCCCCCCCCTTTTTTTGTTGTTTATCATTATTGCCACGATAAAGCATTCATAGGATTTGTTTTACAGTTTTTTTATTTTTTCTAAAAGCTGCAGTCTGCCTGCAGAACGGTCATGCTTGAGTGATGTCGAGAGCCAGCACTGCTGATGTCAGCAAACTCAAGCTCTGAAGTTGCTGCAGGAGAAAAGAAACACTTTTGCTTCATATCAAACAAAAAGCCTTTAAAATGCCGTGGCAGACCAGTTCAGTAGCCCCCCCCCCCCCACACACACACACACACACACACACACACACACACAGGGCCCAAGCAC